CAATATCAAGGCTAATTTATTAATACTAAGTGACATATAAATCCGAACACCCAGTTTAAATGGTTTTATTTTAATAAAATTTTGTATAAGTACTTAATGAAGCATAATAAGTAAATGATAAAAATTTCAAAATGATTGCACTGCTTTAAAGCCCTTTGACCTTTAATAATGTGTGGATGCACCCTGATGTGCTACGCATTCTCCAACGCGCCTAGGCATGCTTCTGATCAGGTGTCAATGTCCTCCTGTGGTATCTCATTCCAGGCAACCACCAACTCTCTCGAAGTGCTTCTAGAGTCTGGGAGGACGTTGCAAATTGAGCAATCTCCTACCCATCATATCCTACGTGCTCAATTGGGGATAAGTCGGGAGATCTTGGTGGCCATGGTAACATGGTGACATCATTATGTTGAAAGAAGTCTATTCTGACTCTTGCAACATGTGGTCGGGCATTATCTTGTTGGAAAGTTGGATCTGCCAGGGTGTCAAGATAGGGTAAAAGATGGGGTTCTAGAACGTCGTGTATATAACGCTGCGCGTTCATGTTACCTCTGATGAAGATTAAAGGTGACCTGGAACCATAAGCCATAGAACCCCAAACCATAACTCCAACAGTGTGATGAACATATCTTTCACAAAAAACTGTGGATTCCTCCTTTCATCATGTCGCCTTCTAACCCTGGCACCACCATCGTGCATGCCTAAACAAAATCGAGACTCGTCACTTGAGACCATACTGTTTCCATTCCTGATACCAGAGTGACCGTTGTCTGCACCACTCAAGGCGATTACGTCGGTGTTCTCAAGTTAAAGGGAGGACCCAGTGTGGCCGGTATGAAAACAAGCCAAAACTTCTCATTCGTCGGTAAACACTTCGCATGCCAATAGGTCTTCCGTGTTCTGCAAACCATTCATTTGCAATGGACCTTGTAGTGGAGAAACGGCCCCATAAGGCCAATAATCTTAGGCGGCGATCTTCACGGTCTGTTGTTCTAACGGCGGCGTCCAGTGCCCCTTGATCTTTGCGTACGGCCTTCTCGAAGCCATGCCTGACAACACCTAACCACAGTGTCTACATTTTTTTGCACTCTAACTGCAATTGCCCGAAAAGAAAGTCCAGCTTCCCGAAGTCCCACTATACGGCCCCTATCAAACTCACTAAGTTGACGAAATCGTACAGGTCTCCGTACTCTAGGCATCGTAACCGATCGTAAAGGATGTCAAGAACCAAAATCCGCCAACGTTGATTCTTTACTGCGGCTGAAATATTCATTTTTAGAGCGTTAGTGAATTAAAAAAAAAACAGTATAAAAATATTCCCATCGGTACACCACCATTCACCACCATCACTATCCTACTCTCTCCATCTAGTTGCGGTGTTGCCAAATCATGGACAGTTATACACCCTAATTTGGTTTGGCAAATTCTTACTTACATACTAGCGCAAAAATGTGCATTTGGCACAGGATTGTCATGAAAATGTGACTAGGAAGTGTGGCCGGCAGGTTTTACTGTGCTAAATCCACCTCGTACCCTACGATAGCGTTATCTAAAGACACTTCTTTGAAGAATGCCTTATGCCCATCACAAAAGTATGTTCGGATATTATCTAATTTTGTCTAAGAGTTTGTTTATTTTTTAAGGTTACAAAATATTTTTTTCTTGTATCAGACATTGAAATATATTGCTTGGATATCATATTAACAACATTATTATCAAGTAATATGATATTAAGCTGTAAAACTAAACTAATATTCATAACAACGCAATATTTGGGTTTGACATAAATGTTCGAACAAACCATTTCAATAGCTCGTTACGCCTCCCTTTGCGGTAATAACATCATTAAATCTGGCCTGCATATACTAAGTGACATATAAATCCACCCAGTTTAAATAGTTTTATTTAATAAAAGTTGGTGAATGTATTTATCTTACTGTATATAACAGGTGAAGAAATTTTCAGCCTTATCAGTTGGACGTTCCGATTTTTATACTGCTTTTTTTAATTCACTAACGCTCTAAAAATGAATATTTCAGTCGCAGTAAAGAATTAACGTTGGCGGATTTTGGTTCTTGACATCCTTTACGATCGGTTACGATGCCTAAAGTACGGAGCCTGTAAGATTTCGTCAACTTAGTGAGTTTGATAAGGACCGTATAGTAGGACTTCGGGAAGCTGGACTTTCTTTCGGGCAATTGCAGTTAGAGTGCAAAGAAGTGTAGACACTGTGGTTAGGTGTTGTCAGGCATGGCTTCGAGAAGGCCGTACGCAAAGAGGCAAGGGGCACTGGACACCGCGCCGCCGTAGAACAACAGACCGTGAAGATCGCCGCCTAAGATTATTGGCCTTAAGGGACCGTTTCTCCACTACCAGGTCCATTGCAAATGAATGGTTTGCAGAACACGGAAGACCTATTGGCATGCGAAGTGTTTACCGACAAATGAGAAGTTTTCATACCGACCACACTGGGTCCTCCCTTTAACTCGAGAACACCGACGTAATCGCCTTGAGTGGTGCAGACAACGGTCACTCTGGGATCAGGAATGGAACAGTATTGTCTTTAGTGACGAGTCTCGATTTTGTTTAGGCATGCACGATGGTCGTGCCAGGGTTAGAAGGCGACGTGGTGAAAGGAGGAATCCACAGTTGTTTGTTGAAAGACATGTTCAGCACACTGTTTGGAGTTATGGTTTGGGGTGCTCTGGCTTATGGTTCCAGGTCACCTTTAATCTTCATCAGAGGTAACATGAACGCGCAGCGTTATATCCACGGAGTTCTAGAACCCCATCTTTTACCCTATCTTGACACCCTGGCAGATCCAACTTTCCAACAAGATAATGCCCGACCACATGTTGCAAGAGTCACAATAGACTTCTTTCAACATAATGATGTCACATTGTTAGCATGGCCACCAAGATTTCCCGACTTATCCCCAATTGAGCACGTGTGGGATATGATGGGTATGAGATTGCTCAATTTGCAACGTCCTCCTCAGACTCTAGATGCACTTCGAGAGGAGTTGGTGGTTGCCTGGAATGAGATACCACAGGAGGACATTGATCACCTGATCAGAAGCATGCCTAGGCGCGTTGGAGAATGCGAAGCACATCAAATTTCGCCGTTGCTGGATTGATTTAAAATTTTCCACGCAAGACTTTGGAAACACGGTAACTTTGCTGCAATCCGCCAATTACTTTACTAGGATCATCCAACGCCAAATTAATCGCATCCAGTTTCTCTTGAGCGGTATGCCGGACACCATGGCCTTTAACTCCAGGAAGTTTGGCAATTCCATATTG